GGCCCGCCCATCAAGGCAAATACGGCCGTCTCCAAGGATGTCGGCATCTACGCCCACACTCTCAGCCCCAGCTACGCCGTCAAGTCGACGCTCAAGAGAAGCGCAACCCCGGCCAACTGTCTGGCTGTTAGTGACTCGCACGTCTTCGCCGCCCAGCACGAAAAGTCCCAGGTTCATGTCTACACGAGGTCGCGCGGCATCCAGGAAACAACAGTCACATTCCCTGAACGCATCCGCAGCTTGGCACTGATCGACGATGTCTTGGCGCTGGGCACCTCTGAAGGTAGACTCATCTTGTGGGAGGTAAGCGAACAGCGCCCTCTTCCCTGGAAGGCCATAGGGAAACCAAGAAACGCCAGTCGCTAACGAAACCAACAGACCTGCACTGGCCGCCAACTGATCACACCCCAGTGCCATGTCCAGGCCGTTTCGTGCCTGGCCGTCACGCCTCACCACATCCTCACCGGCTCCGAAGATTCCAACATCCACGTCTGGACGTTGTCCCGTCTCTTGGAGCTGAACGCCTCCATCGACGCCGAGCCGGACCGTACCCTCTCCAACCACCGGGCCGCTGTCACCTCGCTCTCCATCAGCCCCAGTGTCAACCCCGAAACCAGCATCTGCGCCTCGTCCAGCGAGGACAAGACATGCGTCATCTGGAACTACCAAACGGGCCAAGTCCTGCGCACCTTGTTGTTCCCGACGGCTCCGCTCTGCGTTTCCATGGATCTTTGCGCCCGCGCCCTCTTCGTTTCATCCGAGGACAGCTCCCTCTACTTAGTAGAGCTGCTCGGGGACAAGCCACTGATTGGCCCGAGCAGCGCTGAATCGCCGTCGACCGTCGTTCAGGTTAGCTCGCCGATTGGTATCGCTGATGAAGATGCAGGCCCGGCCTCATGCTTGGCATTGAACTATGATGGCACCACGGTTTTGTCCGGCCACACCAAAGGCAAGATCCTACAATGGCAATTGACCGAGTGCGGCCATCCTACAGAGTTGACGGACCTCAATGCTTCCGTAACAAACCTGGTCTTTCCGCCGTTGCTCCGAGCGCCCCGGTCCACAAAACCTACTGCAGTCATCAAGCCCACCCAGGCTGAGCGGCAGTACGCATTCACGTCTCAAATAAACACGCGCCTCGGTCAAGGGACGAGGTTCGGGACGATGCTCGACGGCTTCGGTTTGCCCAGCGACCTGTTGAACTCCGCTATTGTCGCATTCCAAGACGCCCAGCCCCCACCTATTACCGACGACGACGACGACGACGACGACGACGACGACGAGACACAAAGGCAGACTGACGAGTTGTGGGAGATAATCAATGAGCAAAGGTTGCTGCAGAAGCTGGCTATGCAGCCATATGTTGAAGCCAAACCGTCCCATGCCTGAAAGCGTTTCATCTCATGCAACCAAAATTTCCAGACGGCGGCTCGAGCCTTCAATTGACCTTATTCATTCATTGTTTTTTTCTTCACTTTCCTCTCGCCTCTCGATCCATTTGCCGACTGCCGTCAGAACCCTCGTACATTACATCTTTAACTAGTCAAACAAAAGAACGTGACCGCCTGATCGCCCGTCTCGCATGGGTGGCACGAAACAGCCGCGAATCGCTTTGCTTGACAAACGCCAAGGATTCCAAGACGGTCAGTCAGCCCCAGTATGCCAAGATTGTTTGGAGGCGCGCCCAAAGCTTAGCCTTCGGCTATCGGCCTACATATATTCTCTGACATCGCTTCGAGGCCAGCCTTCATAGAACGTGTCGTGGGCGCCTCGTCCGGACCCTTCAAAATGCAACCGCAAGATGTGATCCTTTCTTTGCCACGGGGGATCCCTGCGCTCAGGCTGTGGTTCACCCAAATGTTCGTTTTGGATTGTACCCCCCGGACAACCAGCTCGCGGGATGGTATCGAAAGCGGTTTCGCATTCGTCATGTATGGAGCTTGTAGTCGCATCAGTGGGGCCCTTCACGACTGAACGATACTACGTAGTAGCCATTAGAACATGAACAAATAGCCAGGCTCGTCGCTCGGTTCCTCCGGCTTAGGTTCGACTCGATGTGTGAGTGAGGAAGAAGTTCGACCAAGCCAACGAAAAGGAGAAGACACGATGAAGCCAAGCGTCGTGGCCACTCTATTCACCGCCCTTGCGGCGGTAACCTTTGCAACCCCGGTGACACGGTCGCACAAGCACGTCGTGCACGAGGAAAGACACCCATCGAGAAGAGAATGGGTCAAGAGCCACAGATTGCACGCAATGGCCAGGCTGCCAGTTCGCATTGGTCTCACCCAGTCGAATCTTCACCGTGCAAACGAGTTCATGAACGATGTAGCGCACCCGGACTCTCCCAACTACGGGAAGCACTGGACCCATGAGGACATCATCAACACGTTCGCCCCGAGCCAGGAGGCCATTGCTCTCGTCATGGAGTGGCTAGAGAGCGAGGGCATCAAGAGAAGCCGCATTGGGCTCTCAAAAGGACGTAACTGGGTTCAATTCAACAGCACTGTCGGCGAGGTTGAACGGCTCTTGAAGACCGAGTACCACGCTTACAAGCACGAGCAAGGACATACGCACGTTGCCTGTGACAAATATCACGTTCCGGAGCACCTGGTCGACCATATCGACATGATCACTCCGTCGGTACACTTCGACCAACGCATCGGCCGGCAAAGGAAAAACAACAAGCACGAGCTCCAAGAACACCAAGTCCAAGAGCTGAAGAAGCGCCACAACAAGAGGCAAGTCTTTGAGGAGCTGGGCATGCATGGCGACAGCAAGTCTGCTGCCATCCAGGGTTCTCCCGACAGCAGCTTCGGGCCAAAGCAGGGCGCAGCCGTCACGAACGCGCTCATGGACCTCAACCAGTGCGATACCATGATAACTCCGGCCTGCTTACGCGCGCTCTACGCTACGCCTCCCGGCGACCTGAAGGCGTCCAACAATACACTCGGCATCGTCGAGTACACACCACAGGCCTTTCTGCAGTCGGACTTGGACCTGTTCTTTGACGAGTTCGAGCCCCGCCTCAAGGGCACAAGTCCTATCGTCACCCTGATAGCCAATGCCGTGGTGCAGACTCAGAACCAGAGCTTCAACTTCAACGGAGAGTCTGCGCTGGACCTAGAGTTCGCCATGGCCATGATCTTTCCCCAGCAGGCGACGCTCTACCAGGTCGGAGACCTGAACCAAGGCGCCAGCTTCAATAACTTCCTCGACGCCATTGACGGCAGCTACTGCACGTTTGAGGGAGGCGACTCCAAGGACCCCAACATCGACGGACAGTACGGTCCAAAGATCTGCGGATCGGCCTCACCGACGAATGTCATCTCCACCAGCTACGGTTTCAACGAGGCAGATCTCGGCCACAAGTACGTCGAGCGCCAGTGCGCCGAGTACATGAAACTCGGGCTCCAGGGCATCACGGTTCTGTACTCGTCTGGCGACTCAGGTGTTGCCGGCAACGGTAAGCAATGCATTGACAGCCTGACGGGCGCTTACAACGACGGCAAGTCCGGCATCTTCAACCCTTCGTTCCCCGGAAGCTGCCCGTGGGTCACGTCCGTTGGCGCCACGCAGATTCTGGAGGGTTCTACTGTCCACACTCCCGAAAGCGCGTGCGAGAAGGTCATATTCTCCGGCGGAGGCTTCTCTAACGTCTTCCCCCTCGCGGACTACCAGAAGAAGACGATGGTGGACTACTACAACCAGAACGCGCCGCCGTACGGCGGAGACCGATTCAACAACTCCAGGACCGTTCGCGGCTACCCCGATATCTCGGCCAACGGCGCCAACTACGTGACGGCCGTCGACGGCAAGTTTACCTTATCTTTTGGCACTTCTGGTAAGTTTCCTGACCCAGTCCTCGCACACGGGAGATGGCCACTGACACCTGCAATAGCATCTGCACCCGTCGTCGGCAGCATTATCAACCTAATCAACGAGAAGCGCATCGCCGCAGGCAAGCAGCCGGTCGGCTTCATCAATCCGACGCTCTACGCGCACCCGGAGATCCTCAACGACGTGACCAACGGAAACAACCCGGGCTGCGGCACCCAAGGGTTTTCTGCAGTACCAGGCTGGGATCCCGTTACGGGCTTGGGGTAAGTGGCCTCCGGCTCCCAATGACTGCATTACTAGGACACTAACACCGGTCCTCCAGCACACCCAATTATCCCGAGATGGAGAAATTGTTCCTGAGCTTGCCTTGATGACCTGATACTCAGCACATACCGCGGCGTTCGGTGCATGAACATAGATCCACCACATACATATTGGAGGGGGGAGTATACATAACGCAGCATGCGACGTTGGCCCCTGGCTCAATCGCGGAGGTTTGCCAGCTGTAGAGCCTCGATACCATGACAAGGGATGACATTTGTAGATAATTAAGCATTAATAGAAGTACCTACAGCATGAAGACGCGTTGCGACATTGGAATTCGGTACATAAACTCACCCAGAGACCAGGTTGTTACCCTCTTTCATGCCATTCCGCATAGGACGCGTGAACGCAGACCTTGATTGAGTGGTGCACGTCCGGTATCTCCGAAGCCAGGTCGGTTCTTATTTTCTTTCGTTTCGTCTTGGTTTTATGTGGAAGCATTTATTTGTATATGTAGTTTGGCTTTGTCTAAATTCTTGGAGCTTCAATTGCCAAGTCTCTTCGTAATACTGGCGATGCGAGTGGTTCACCCATCCAAGAACGCCCTCGCCAAAAAAAAAAGGTCTCCAAGTTGACAAAAACCAGAGGTTCGGGGGTCGGGCTGCTCCGGGTGACACACCCCGTCGCGGGTGGCGGATTAGTGAAATGCCGAGCACCGTCCGCTCCGCTAAACGCCGAGAGAGTGGAGTTTTGGGGGCGACACGCGCTAGGTAATAGGTAGGTAGGTAGCTAGCTAGGTGGTAGAAAGGGACAGTGTTTGCATCATCGCCGTCTCCGATCCCTCTGGAAATTGTTCCTAGCTGCGCAATTCACGACTCAACCACCAAAAGCAACCCGACTCATTCACCAACCAACCCACCCCATCTCCTTTCCTGGCCCATCGAAAGCGGAAAACAACAACCCCCCACCACCTCACGAGCAGTCGAACGGATATCACATCAAACCCAGCGCGCACGATGGCGACGGCGATACAAGCTCTCAAGGGCGATGCGCCGCAGCAAGTGCGGTCTCTGGTACGTCTGGGCAAAATTTCGTGGCGCCTTTCACTCCCGGATCCCGCCCATGCATGATGCACGGTTCCCTTTTTTTCTTCTTCAATTCTTCTTCTTCTCTCTCCCCCATTCTCCACGCCGTCGCAAAGCTGCCGATAGAGGCAAATGAACAGTCTGGGAAGAATAGGAAAAAAAAAAAAAACGCAAGAGAGATGTAGAGAGAGAGGACGATTAGATTGCTGACGAGGAAACCTGTGCGCAGTACCGCCAGCTACTGAAGTCGGGCGACCAGTTCGCGGCCTATAACTTCCGCGAGTACGCCAAGCGCCGGACGAGGGACGCCTTCCGCGAGAACCAGAACGTCCAGGACCCCCGGCAGGTGCAGGAGCTGATCCAGAAGGGGTTGAAGGAGCTTCAGGTCTTGAAGGTTGGTATCTCCCTCCTTATCTCTTTCTTCCTCCTCCGATCTTGGGTGTCGGGGGAGCTTCCCAGCGAGGAAAAGGATGGGAGTGGCGGGCGGAGCATAGGAGGGTGGAAGGTGTTGACCGGAATCCGAGAGAAAGAGAGAGCGCTTGTGTGTGGGAAACGTGTCTGGAGGCTAACGTTCGCGCAATGCAGAGACAAACGGTTGTCAGCCAGTTCTTCCAGTTTGACCGGTTAGTGGTCGAGGGCGGTGCCGCGGTAAGTTATGCTCCGGGAATCGATGCAGGGCGTGATGCTGATGGTTGAGAGCAGGGCAAGCAAACAGGCAACAAGGGCGATATTATCAGACAAAAAGATCAGGGGTACGTCTTCTCGAATCCCCTCCCGGGGGACACCTTGAGCATACACACTGACGACCGACGCAGCTGGGACTAGAGAGCGAACCAAAAATGCCGTCAGAGGCACCGTCTCGATCCGCGCCGGGTGGAACCAAGAGTCGGACGTTGTATTATATCATGCTGCGGAGAAGACGAGGCACGAGGGGAGGAATGTATACACCACAACCATGCTAGGCGAAACCAAAGAAGGGGTGATGGGCAGACGTTGGGTCTGTCTGACGACAGGAGAGAGGGGGGGAAAGACCAAGGTTCCCAAAATACAAAAAGCCTCCACTCCAGGAGTTTTCCATTTTTTCACCGGCGAGTTGCGGCCTCTAGATATAGTAATGGGGTTTCTATGGGTGTTGGGCCTTATTGTGAGTTACCCCAAAATGCAAGGCCGCGTGATGACGGTGACGGGATGGCAGTGAAGCTTTTAAGGCCGGTTGGCAGTGTTACGGGAACTGGACTTTTTTTTCTTCTTCGGAGGGCTTCGCAACAAACACAGAACCCTTGAGTAGTCGGCGAGATGCGGGAAGGATACGGCTGGAAGATGCGATTGGTGGGTAGAGGACAAAGCGCTTGTATTGGATGACTAATTGGGGATCTCCAGCTACCAGTACAGTACCGGAAAGCTGGGTTTTCTGTACGACCTATGTTTATGATGTAGGCAGGTGTCTTTTGTTTTTCTGATGTAGGGAATCATGGGAACACAAAAGCGCCGCTGTAGGTTGCTCAAACTAGGAAATCCGTGGCAACCTTTATCGGTAAACAGTAGTATCTCGGGAAGCAAGGAAAGTATCACGATTCATAAGCTGTAACCACACTTAGCAAACGACGCTTAATAAGGCAGACCGAGGTCTCACCGAGACTCCTCAAAGCTGTGATCATGTGACTAGTCCCGTGATGTCGGTGCGCTTAGAGTTCGCGACAAGGCTAGGTCTCCCAGTGGAGCCAAATCCAGGCATTCTGGCTGCAGCTCAGCGTGTCCATTGTCGAAACACTCCAGAGCACCCGCGCGCGTCGCACTGCTTCCACTCAATTGACGCGGCTGATTACATCGCTCTCATCGCGGCTTTCCCGAGTCGAGGCAGACTTTCTCGGCTCTCGTGACGAACGCTTCCGAGCTCGGATTTGCCAAGTCCACTTGACTCTCGTCGCGCATTCTCGCGACAGCCTCGATTTTTTGGCTACCTTTGGATATCGTGACTATTAGTTGTTGTTGTTTTAGAAGAAAAAAAAAATATGGCGCCAGGCGTAAGTTCCCTCTTGAAGAATCGTTGCGCACCTGTGCTGTGAATTGCGACGCAAGGCAGTAGAGACTAACACGGACAGACTCGACGCGCGAACCGCAGCGGATATGCTGAACACGACGACTTCGAAGGCCTTCCTGTGCGCCAATGGCGCCACGAGTGGGTGAATGTTGAGCCACCCGCGCCCGTTGAAACGACACAAAAGAACGGTATCTGGGATGTCGAGCTCCCCTGGGGCATGCCGAAAGACGTGGGCCTCCTACCCCAACACAGTCAGGATTTGCTGCGCGCGGCGAGGTCGGGCGCCCTCTACAAGAGACCTGCGCCTGCCGAGGAGGAGGAGACCGACGCGGACGCCCTGGCGGAGAAGCCGGAGAAGAAGGAGGACGATGCCAGCACCAAGGGCTTCCAGATCAAGGTGTGGAAGCAGATCAACCGCAACTCGGAGGGCTCTCCTGTCTCCCACCTGGCGAAGCGGAGAAAAGGCACCGTCACGATTTCGTCCAAGACAGTCAGCAGTCACACGCCTGGCGCGACTGTGACCAAGGCCACTGTGCGGAGGGTGGACGCCGCTGGCAACCCGTACACGCAGGAGATTACGCTGCAGGAGGGCCAGACGGTTGAGGGGGAGATCATCTCAACGACGGTCGTGCCGGTCGCAGCTGTCGACCCCATGCAAGTGGCTCCCCAGCGCGTGCGACGGCCGCCGCCGCCCAAGAAGAAGAACAAGCCCGGCCCAGGCCGCGGGCGCAAGAAGAAGGTCCTGCCTTTGCCTGCGCCGGCACCTGGAGCACCGGGTGCTGTGGCTGCAGTGGACGGAGCCCCCGTTGCTCCCAAGGTGGAGGGAGCTGAAGGCGCAGAGACAGTGAGTTGACAGCACCTGCGTTTCCGAATGTCGTGACTAACTGGTATGTAGCCCGTCAAGCAGGACGGCGAGGACTCGAACAATCCCGACAGCGAGATGGCCGACAACGACGACGACGAGGGCGATGACGACGGCGACGAAGGCGATGATGATGGCGATGAGGAGCAGCGCGACGGCGACAACACCGACAGCCAAGACCAAGAGATGACCGACGCCTCTCCTGCCGTGCCCACGCCAGCAGCTGACGCCACGACCGAGCTGGCCGACCCCGAATCCCCCGTACCGAAGCGGGCCGCGCCTCCCGCAAACCCTATCAGCCTCCCCCCTCTTCCGGCTATGCATCTGGCAAACTCGTCGCCCAAGGGCAGTCCTCTCAAAAATGTCGTTATGCCTTCCCCGACAGAGCCATCACTGGAATTCTCTCTCATTTCAGAGGCCTTGGCTCCGAAAGTTGAGCCACAGGCCGAGTCTCAGAGCGAGCCTCAGCAAGAAGATGCACAAGCAAATGTTAAAGCAGATGTGCCCATGACCGATGGTTCCGAAACCGTCACAGGAGCCCCCACCGAGCCACTGAACACAGCTGTGCCCGACCAGCTCCCTTCTATCGATACCGCAACAGAAGATGCTCCAGATGTATCATCCCTGCCTCCCGCCGACAAAGTCGGGGACATTGTGTCGCCGATGGCAGAGACTAGATCCACCTTCTCGTTGGCGACCACGGCCGAGACCGAGGCATCAGGTATCAGGCTTGAAAGCGGAGATCAGACGGTGGCCTCGAATCAGGCATCTCAAGACGCCATGGTCTTGGATGTTCCTGAGGCGTCTGGCGCATCAAATGCCGCTGACGTTCCCGAGATTCCAGAGGTCATCACGACCTCGGAGGCCGCGCCCGCCGACGAACCACCAGCACCTGCTGTTGATGATGTTACGGAAAAGAAGGAGACCGCTCCTCCAGCCCCCCCAGCGAGCGCCGAAGCGGAGCCCATCGCTCCGGTAGTCGAGGATATGCCACTCGCGCCTGAAGAGCCTGCAGAGGCGATTAAGTCGCCGGCGAAAGCCTCTCCAAAGTCACCCGCAGCCTCCCTGCCAGAGCCGCCAGCTCCCATTGAGCCCTCTGTGGTGGAGCCGGCCGATGTTCCGCCCGAAATTCCAGTGGAAATTCCCGTCAAAACATCAGCTGAGATGGCTGTTGACGCGCCGGCAACACTCCCCGATGTTCCGGTTGAAGCGCCTGTCGAGGTTCTGGTTGGCGCTGCGGTCGAGACAGCGGTCGAGACCGCGGCAGAGGCGCTAACCGACGCCCCTGCGCAAGCTCCGATGGAAATTCCCACCGCCGAACCTGAGGTGACCCAGCCATCGCTGGTTACAGCCCCCGTGATGCCCGAGGACGAGGGCCCGGATCTGCTCGCCGGCTTGGAGACGGAGCTGGACCGCCAAGCGGAGATGGGCAAGTCCCCGCTTCCCGAGCCCCCCGCGGCTCCGCATCCGGAACCGGCTGAGCTGCCCGAAATCGCGAACCCCGTGCCGCTGCCCGAGGTCCCGGCAATCGAGCCGGAGAAGCCTGATGACGAGCCGATGGTGGAACCAAAGGAGGATCCGACGGAGCAGGCCACGAATGCACCCGTTGCAACAAGTCCCGAACCCGGACCGGTTTCCGCTCCCGCGCCAACCGAGGCCGCGGACCCGGCGTCAACGGCTGAGGCTCCCGCAAGCACGGTGCCTGACGACGAGGCGGAGAAGAAGAATGAAGAGACGACGGCCGATGCACCCGCGCCCGCCGCGGCTGACGCCTAGCTAGAGCAGCCTCTTGGGAGGGGGGTGAGGGGCCTTTATCGATGGCTACACTCGTACGGCGGTGTTTGGGGTTGTCAGTGCTTGAAAGCGCATGGAGTCTATTAGAGTTTACGTGTATGGAATACTGTAGGATGCATGATTCCGCGCATGGAATGAATGTCCGTCATTGACGGGGTGTTGGTTCACGTTTGGTTGGTCGCTGGTATCCTGCGTCATAAACAGCGGGTCCTATCCTGTGGGCGAGCGCACTTTTTGTTCGTAAATGTTTATGGTTTCACACGGTCAATGTACAGATATATAATTCACATTTGGACCTTTTCTTCACGCATTCTATCGCTCCTTCCCCCCGGACTTACCACTCCAGAATGATGCTGTCTTAGATGAACACTCCGAGTTGTGTTCCGATTCAGACTGGTACTATCTTAGTTCTCGCCCTGCCTGAACAGCACCGCGGACACGAGGAACTAGAACAATATCCACTCGCTCGCGGCGGCGGTTCGTGGGGTTCCCGAGCGGTTGCTGCGCGCGACACACAGTCGGCCGGTCGGGATACGCGATGGCGGCGGGACTCGGCGGCGGGACTCGGCGTCGGATCGGGAGCTGTAGTTCTGGGAGGTAAGGGACCCAACATCTTTGCCTTCGAGGAAGGCGCCGATGGCGGAGATCTGGAAGTGAGTGCCATGGGTCATGTTGAGCTGGAACGGCGTTCACCGGTCGCGCTCTCGCGACGGACCTGAACGGTGCGGGCGTGTCGGCGGCAATGGTCTCAGGTTGGCGCGGAACAGGAGACCCAGGAATCGTGTCATGGATTCCTGATTCAGGTAGTTGCCGTTGTAGATCAGTAGTTCTTGCCCGGTGTGGACGTACTGACTTGCTCACCGCGTCAAGCATGCGCCGGGTCCTCGCCCTCCACTAGCGACCACATAAGAACCCATGAGGGCACGCCCTAAGTCGTCGTCAAGTTCGCCTCGGCCGACGGCGACCTCCAACTAGGCCATCCTCCAGGGGGACTCGCCAATGCCCACTGGTACTTCGTCAACCGCGGCCTCATCCCCGCCGGGCCAGCTCCTGCGCCCTTTGGTCCCTCAACAATGCGATCTTTCCCTAGCGGTAGGACGGAGGTCTACGACAGGCCGCCGCCGCCGCGGCTGCTCAGCGACTACCTCCCCGAGAACAAGTTCCACAGAGGCCCCAAATGTAGCACGGTATGGGTGGTCCCGTACTGAAGCTCATTAAGTGACCGACGGCGTTCCCGACAAGATCGTGGTCTTTGCAGATTAGCCTCATGCCCTACTGCGGGCCTTATGCCGGCACCGTTGCCAATGATCCACATCCGGGTATTGACCTGAGCGAGGAAAGGCTCTGCCTGGCTGGGAACAGTAACAGCGTTGGATAGGAGGCCCCCGGACTAGAGCCACGCATGGATGAGGATTGAGCCAGGCCATCGGCATGCAAACGCCTTCCTTCTCCTCACTTACGTCTCGTCGTTCGTCGAGCCCTCCCACGTGACGATGAGGCGAGCCAGTGTCAGCCTTTTATGAAGGGGGGACGGGCGTTAATTAGGTGCCAACGGCGACGCGGAGGGCGAGCAGGGAACCACCCCGTTGTCTACAATGGAGCGAGCGGGGGACTTGGATGATGAACAGAGCGTTTCTAACTTTTCCAGACCGCCACGCAAACCCCAAGATCTGGGGACGCTAGACTCGGAGGCCATGAACTGCCCCTCGACTTGGGGATGCTAAGTGCCGAGCGAGGTTGGGATAGATGCGTTTTCTGACTTTTGTTCTGCATAATGTAATTGTCGCTAGTTATCATCTCGGCTACCGGTAGTCGGTTGAGTCGGAAAGGGAGGGATCCGGAGACCATGTCTCAACCTTTTTTGCAGTGCAGCGGGATGACAGAAAAGCAGACAAGACAGACAGACAGACAGACAAAGGGCGGGTGGTGTCGAGTTGGTACACTTGCACCCTTTGTTGTGGTGGCCATGCAAGACTCTGTGGTGTGGCAAAGCTGGAAGCTTCCGGTTGGTTCTGTTAACACCGAATAAGGATGCGAAGTGGATGAAAAAAGACTGACACGATTCCGACTCGAGACCCGGAGGGGAATCACTTGGGCTCGGGTGATCCGATGATTGCCGCTCCTGCCACAATCACACGTGACGCGTTGAAAAGGGGGTTCAACGGGACAGTAGCCATCCCAACAGACCGGGATCTGGGTTGGAACCTTTGTTATCGCCAATGCTTTTTTGGAAACTACGCTCGCGATGGAACTAGTGCTCGGACACCGGTTGCATCTTGGGGAGAAAAGGCAGTGGCGGACGGATGGGAAACCGACGGGAGATGCCGCAGAAGGAAGGGAAAAGCAGAGGAAGGAAGGCGTCGACGGATCAAAGAGTTGGGGAGGGAGGAATACGTAGGGGAAGGAAGGAAGGAGCTAAGGAAGGAAGGAAGGGAAAATAAACAGTGCGTGGAGGATATGGCCGTGCTCGCTTTCCTACCTAAATAGGTATGATTGATCCTCCTTGGCGACGAAGGCATCGAGTCCGCAGGTGGATCGACTGGGCTTTATTCAATCATTTCTTCCCCTTTCCACGATCAAGAGTCGAATCGGGTTTACGCTCCTCACGCAAGATCCCGATCACTTGCATGCCCGTCGCTAGCTGCTTAGCGTATCTGGCTTGCCTACATACCGGTAGCGCAGCGCCACCCTCGACGCTATCAAAGAGCAACCAGGTTAATTTGATCAAATCAACACATGTAATCAAGCTTAGACTGAGGCGAGGTGCGTACCGTATACCCAAGGCGGTCGACCCCTCCTCTCAAGGTCGCCACAGGTACACGATGATGCGCATCATGCCCAATACTTACTCAACGCTTCAACGATCGCAAAACAGGATCCTTGGGGCTATTGTGCTATATAACGTCTTCCTAAGCATCTAAGCTTTCTCTATCGACTAATCGACCTTGTTGTCTCATATTTACACACAACCAGCCAGCTGGATCGGATGGATCCCGCGCCGGGACCCACAGGAGCCAAGATGGCCACTCTCTTGGCAGCAAAACAACACTGCCTGCCCGTCTGCCTGCCTCAGACTGAGACAACAGATCTGACATTAACAGCGACCGTCTTTTTGACCCAGCCAGCCCTGTCCGATTCTCTTCCAAGACACGCGCAACGGTCCGGCAGCTACCACCAAAAGGATGTTTGTTTTGGCTTGTGACCATACGGTTCCTGCAGGTGGGGGGGCCGCTCACGAGGACCCTGTGGCGCCTGCGGAGATTTTTTGGGGTGACGCCGGCCACCTTGCGCGCATAACAATTCAACATGAAAAAAAAGAAAGAAAAAAAAAAACGCCAACAGGACAGCCGCTTAGTAGGTCAATGTTCACAATCTTGATCGACTATTTGTGGCCCAGATCTGTCATCTCTCACGTCCCGGTATGGCCCCCAACCGACGCCACGTTTATTGCACCGCGGAATCGGAATCGAGGGCGCGATTCGGCGATGGTAGCCCCAAATAGATTTGTGTCCGCATGACTTTAATCCAGCCCTCATAAGAACTGACTCGCGGCGGATGCCGAGGTGCTGTTCTCTTTTCCCTCTCCCCCACTATCGTTACGCCCGTTACGCTCCATTCCAGCTAGTCCTTGCGTCAGACACGAGGCAACAGGCTGAACCCATGATCGCCTCAACTCCTGCTCGCTCAACATCGGATGCTTCTCCGGAAGCAAAATCCCCCACTGTTGTAGTCTCGCCCACACTGCCTCCTGGTGGCTTGGAACGTGCAACAAGGCTCTCATCCCATCCCATCCCATCCCACGCCCTCTCCCGCGTCCCCCTCCTTCCCCGGTTCCGCCACTACCCCAAGATAGGTACTACCTATACTACTCTGTTGGTCTGTGCTACATAAGTAGCCTCAAAAAGGTACGTTACCTCAGTACCAAGGTATCAAACTACCTACATGCTTGTTGTGCATTCGTGCAAATAGGTAGGTAATCGACTAGGTAGTAGGACGTATAGCCCAACTCCTTTTGAGCTTGGCAATCCCCCCCCTCCTCCTCGATATTACACGTGGATACCAACCCAACCCCAGCTACCCTTTTGCCCTTTTCCAGCCTTGGAAACTCTGCTAGCTACCGGATCCGTATCTAGCGTATCGGCAGACTCCGTTGACCCTGCTGCTCATTACAACAATCCCGTCGAGACGCCACGCAACGTAACCATCTAGAGTTGGGGTCCGTTTGACGCCATCAAATTCGCGACAGACTTGAATGCCGATCACTAAAGCGCGCCTTGAGTCCGCAGCCGATAAACTCCTAAACCCAAGCATCAATAGGTCGGAAGTAAACCCGGGGCCTAACCGTCGTTTTGGGCTCTCGTTATAGGTCAGTCATCAAAGGAACCTCCCTCCGACAACGACGCACTCGTCTGCTGCGCGGCGTCCCTATCTATAATCCTCAACCACCTCGCCCCACGCGCCGTCGCCGTGTCCCGGCCCCCCGGAACTGCGATCGGTCTACTCTGCTCTAAACTGCTGCCAACACCCAGGCTGCCGTTCCCGTTCCCACCGACGGCAGAACCAGTTCCACGTCGCCCCCTCCCCCGCCGCCTCCGTTTTTTTCCTCTTCTTTTGTCCTGCATCATCAGCGTCATCAGCACGCAAGAGCTCGCCGGCAGACTATGAAGCTGGGCCCAGTCAGCCATCCCGATGCACCATGAACCACGATGAAGACACCAAACCGAACACGATGGATCTGGACATGAACGCCAGCATGAGCGCCACCGGAAGCGTGAGGAGCGACTCCCTCGGCGCATTCGATCCCAACACCCAGCAGAACGGGCCAAAACCGCCCATCAAGAGGAGAGCTCCGATCGCCTGCAGAAGGTTTGTCCCATCCGCCCGCCTGGCGATCCACGACCCGACGAGCTAAACGAGGTCCAGATGCCGTCGCATGAGGAGCAAATGCATGCACGACAAGGCACAACCACCATGCAAATCTTGCGCGGAAGCCGGCATACCGGCCAATGAATGGTACCGACACCGCCAATCGATCCTCTCAGCCGAGTCTCCAAGCTAATTGACCGCAGTGTCTTCCCTCAACGCGGCCAGCCGGATCTAGATCGCGAGTATCGGCACCCTCGCTTGAGGGCGGAGAAGACCGCCAAGCGAGAGGCAGAAAAGGCGAAGCGCAGCTCGTCCGTCGCGTCCGTTTCGCAGGGGCTGCCCGCACCAGGGCTCGGAAAATCCGTAGACGAATGGGACTTTCTCCCGCCACTCCCCGAGATCGTCGATGCCGTGCGCATATTCACGCGGAATTACTTCCAGCTAGGCTTCATCCCGAAGGAGCTATTCCCACTGCAGCTGCAGCGAGACCACCGTTCCGTCAGCGTGTTCCTCCTGCTCGGCATCCTCAGCGTCTCTGCCCGCTTCTCGCCAGCGCTGGCCCAGAGGTACCAAGGGGAAATGAAGGCCGTGGACTACTTCATGGAGCGAGCCAGTATCATGGCGTTGAACGAGCTATACCAGGAACCTACCCTGGAGCGTTGCCAGGCCTTTTATTTACTGAGTCTTGCACAGCAAGGGGGCGGTTGGAAGAATCGAAGCTATGCAAGTCATCTGAGACGGGGAATACCAGAACCCGGGCTGACAGTTGGCAGATCAATATCGGCATTGCTACTCGAATGGCTGTGTTGATGCACCTGCATCGTGAAGAGTTTTATAAGATGAAAGATCCTACTAGAGAGATGATTATCAGGGCTGAATCCGCAAGGCGAACTTTGGTAAGCTGGGGAGGGGTACCAGAAACGAGGGAGAAGAAAGCACATGCTAACAGCTCGCAGTGGATGTTGCACAGTCCGTAATCAGCGTCACATATGCGAGGCTCCTGCTAACAAGCATTACAGGCCAAGACAACCTTCACTGCGGCGCTCTGTCGCCCGTCTCTCTCGCAGCCAACGACATAACGGCGCTGCTTCCTAGCAATGAGGAGGACTTCGCCTGCGGCCGCGAGCCGCTCTCCCGCGCAGCTCTCGAAGATACGCCCCCAGCGCGCGAGAATCCGTCTCTGATCCACCAACCGTCCCGGTCTCTATTTGCGAGCCTGATGCAGGCACACTACTATTGGGGCAAGATCGCCCGCAGGGCAATGGCCACTATGAAGAGCGCCGAGCCGTGGGACCCGACGAGCGAGTACGCCATCATGACGAAACAGTTGACCAACTGGGAACAGCGGCTTCCGCAAGATCACAGGTGGAGCATGGTCCTGCTCAAGGGGCACAAGTCGGTTGGCGAAGATTTGGTAGGTTCGAGGTCTCGGGGCTGGACTGGAGCAGGCTAACGATCGTAGGCTTATCTGGGAGTCACGATGGTTACGAAGCTCTGCAACATCGTGGTGAGAAGAGCATA